CTGAAAAAAATGCAGGTTTTTAGATGCTTTGGTTTCCTGGGTGCTAATGGGTAGTCTTGTCTTGGATCTGGTCCTTAGACAAGGAGGGGTTTCTTTACTGGTCTCAGGACTGCAGAGGCTGCTAAGGTTATGGGAGCAATGCTTGTGAGTTGCTGGGGATGAAGGATATTAAGACCCTTCAGTAGCAACCATGAAGGTTTCTTTCACTCAGCCACGTATTTCCTCAGCTGGGGTGAGAAAGGAAGCCAATATTGGCTGCTTCGTCTTCCAAGTGTGTTTGTAATGTCAGCCTTACATCAGTTAGGAAGAGAGCTCTGAAGTACAGCAAATTAATCTCTTACTGAGGATTCTCAGGGGCTGACAGAGATGTGTTTGATCAAGTGATTCTTAGGTTTTTTTTCCCTGGGACAGGACTGTCTCAAATGCTTCTTTAGGCAAGACACACTGACTCAGAACAACCAAATCTACTGTAGCTGGTGTGGAACAAACCAAGATGCTACAGTAAAGGCCATCGTAACCACAACACCAGAGATCATTATTTTCCACCTAAAGAGGTACATGGGGTAGAGGATGGGGTAGGACATGGCCAGTTTCTGGGAACTGTGAGACACAAAGGACAGTCACTTGCATTTGCATAAAAGAAAAAAATAATCACTGCAAATGAGTGTTTTTAGTACTTTTGATACCTGAAAGCTAAAGGGTGTTAAGAGATACACAGCTGTCCGAACATGCAAGTTGCATTCCTGAAAACTCAAGAGGTGTGTTTTGTCTTACTGTGCACTGCAGCCCACCAAATTTCACTACATTTGGGATCTGTTCTTCAAAGGGAATTAAAACTTCAGAGTGACTGACTACAGATTAGTGCAGTGGCTCAACCAGACATCCCTGTAAATCACAGTTCCTGTGGCAAGGGGGAGAGCTGCTGACTTGGGTTCTGGGTGCAGGACTGACACTGCTTGTTATCACTGCAGCTGAGACACTCTGGTTTTGTCTAAACAACAGGCTCTGCTGAACAGAGGGGTGCATCAGTGTAAGAGCTCCTTTGCTAGCCACATGTGGCCAGATGCTGTATTTATTCTGAAGAATTTTTTTCTTGACAACCTTTCACCTGTAGAGAAAATTACTCTGGCATGACTTGTCTTCCCAGAACTATGTTTTCTAAAGTTTTTAATTTTCCACTCAGCATCTGCTTTTCTCAACATGCTCAAAGGGACTTTTGGGTCCCTAGCTGCAGCCCTTAGCCATATTAGAAATGGTTACAAGTACAGTGTGGTACTGAAAGTTACAGAGGGAATGGGGATGGAGCCTGGCAGGAGAGAACACCTGACAATGGCAGTGCAGTCCAAAATCTACAGGACATAGAGCCATGCAAAACTTTGAGTTTTGTCTCTGACCAAAGGACCAGGAAGCAAGAGCTTTGCTTTTCTTGCCAGACATCTCTTGCAGGTTTGGTGCATTTTCTGTCAGTTTACTGCCATACTCAACATTAACACAGATCTTTCTAAGTGCTGGGTAGTTGGGTCTTGGTTTTTCCTTCCCCTAGAAAGTCAGTTAAGCAATCCACCACAACGCAAAAAGAACTTGAGGGATCTAAAATTGCTCAAAATTTCCTTTAAGGTTTGCCTGGCAAGACTGGGGCAGAAAAAAACTCTCAACCACTGTCTGCTATCCACTCAGCAATCTGGATCTCTCTCCGTACAGCAACATGTCTTCCTCCAGCAACGCACAGTACAGCTTGCGTGCTGTAGTGGTAAGGTTTGCCTTTCCTGCTTTTATCTGGAATGCCCTGGCTCATGGAGCAGATGAAGCCTATGTTAGCACGGACTTCATGTATAATGATTTGGTCTTCTTTTGAATGGGTTTTACTTTTGTACACCTTTTTGGTTTTGCCTGCCATTGACATAATCCAGTAACTGTGTGTCACCACGAAGAGAGAAGTTGTCATTTCTCCTTCTCCCCCCAACATCCCACTTTTGGCATTCACTGGCACATATGGTTGGAGCCTCCTCAGCTAAACTAAAATCACAAGCTGATCCTGCATGGATCCTGTTTATAAATAAGGACCAAATGGTCTCTTTTTCCCATTGCTCACAGCAAATGGGGCCCTCTTAGAGTGACCTGTATCAGGGCTAATAGCTGGGTTGCAAATGTAATACTGCAAAACAGAGAAACTATCATAATCCCTTTGCTCTGTTTTAAAGCATTCCTCAGCTAAACTAAAATCACAAGCTGATCCTGCATGGATCCTGTTTATAAATAAGGACCAAATGGTCTCTTTTTCCCATTGCTCACAGCAAATGGGGCCCTCTTAGAGTGACCTGTATCAGGGCTAATAGCTGGGTTGCAAATGTAATACTGCAAAACAGAGAAACTATCATAATCCCTTTGCTCTGTTTTAAAGCATTTATTTGAATTAATACTACTTGCTATAGGCCAAAGGGGGCTAGAACTCTCCCCTCTTGTCCAAGTGCAAAGAAAAGATGATTGCCAATTCCTAGCTCTGCCTGTAAGGAGAGAGGAGACTGCAGTTTTAACAATCTGTGTTGGTACAGAATCATGCTGGGCGTCTGGACTATGGCCACTACACAGCACTGTGCAAACACTCAGACCACTGGCACCGCTTTGATGATACAGAAGTCACCAGGATCCCAGATTCCTCAGTACAGACTGACACAGCTTACCTCCTCTTCTACACTTGTCAAGGCCACTGAGAATCTACCAGCTCTTGGGAAACCAACAGTCAGCAGGGCACCAACCAGAATTCAGCAGCAGCAGCAGCAAAATTCTGTTTCATCAATAAACTGGAGCATTTGTTTCCCTGATCATCTGTTGTGATCTTTCAGGAAGTAATGCCTGGAGAGACCAGTTACAGCCTCCGAGCTGTGTGTCTGCTCCATTTCTGCAAGGTCTGATGGTTGTTTTCCATGACATCCCTCCAAAGAACACAGATGCTGAGCATACAGATGCACTTACCTGAAAACTCCTGCTTTTCTGCTGGTTAAGTATATCAGGCTGGTTTAAACTGCCTTTCAGGAACTGACAGTAGGTTATGACCAGAGCACAGAGGGTGTGTGTTTCAGAACAGAGCAGGGGATCAAGGGACCATCAGTAATAAGAAAGAAAAAGGCATTATTCCAGTAATGTCACTTTTGTTCCTCTAACACTGCAAACTCATTTGCAGCTTGTGAACTTCTGGAAAACAATCAATCCTGCTCTTAATTTCATCAGCAAGACACAAATATGTGATATAAAAGCTGACAGTGTGTGATGTAAGGTTTTTGAAAACCAACCTACCCCAAATGCAAAGCAATACAAAACAAATACAAAAGATACTAAACTAAAATAGTTTCTAAACTAATCGATTCTATGCAAAGCAGTATGGTTTTTTTCCCCTCTGGAGAACCTTTAAATTCTGTGAATATGACTGAGACTTACACCACAAGCTGAGAATGAAAACACCAAACCCAAACATACATTTAACTGGATATATTTTTAAATCATTTCTTCATTAAGGTTTTTAATGCATGTGTACATGAAAATTTATATTAAAAAATTAAAAAGGAAAATCTTGTTTGTTTAGAATAACTCTGAAGTGCACAAATATTGACAAAAGCTAACAGAGAAAATAATACAGCTCTGCTTTTTTATTAAGTAGTGTTGCAGTTACTTAGAGCTGGCAAATAAACGCAATCCTCTGAGTTGTAGAGTCTCACAAAAAGGACAACATTTTATTATATACATAATTCTGATGTGCAAGTATGCAATCAATATGTACACTTACATTCCTAACTGTTTACATCATTCTAGAGTATTCACAGTAGAATCAAGCTTAAGGTTAGAAATGTGAAAAGGCCATTAACAGTGAAAGAAAAAAAAAAATAAACCAAGATATGCCTTGGGATTTTAAGACATTTTAAACTACTTGTTAATAGACTTCAGATGGCTAAGCTAGAATTTAATTTTGGAGCAGACTAAAAATATAGTTGGGGTTTTTTTTAAGTAAATGGTAATGCAGGTATGCTTGTAAATGGTTTCACAGATGGCAGGATCACCACAAGCATTACTCACCAGTCTTCTGATTGTTAAGCACTAGTACAGACCAGAGGAGTCTGCTTGCAGATACACTACTGCAGCCATCCCCACATCCCAAGGCCACTCTGCCTCTCAGAGTTTTGCATATTTCTATGCATTCCATACCTACTTTGCTCTTACAGAAAGAAACCCAGGTTGCTTATCCCACACTACTTTACGTGGCTATATCCACCGCGCGCTGTTCGTAAGAAGTATAAAAGAGGATATATGCAGCTGAGGACTTCACCGACGACGCTGAGATCTCAGACACTTCGTGGTCATCAAACTTAAACCAGCGCTGCTTCGAAGCATTTTTGCAGTAGGCTGTGTAGTGCCCCCCATCCAGCCCTCCATAATGGTTCTGTCAACGTAAGGAAACAATTAATAGCCTCAAAGCTGCCACTGCTTCCCTGCTCAGGGAAAGCATCTCAAACAGGAGAGTTCTACTAAATACCAATCATTTCTTTTTAGAACACAACTAGGTAGGCAGCCTGGAAACATGGATGAAGGGCACAGGCTACCCCAAGTCCTGACACAAAGACCAGCTGAACTTTGAAATGTGACACAGTTACTTACTGATACTGAGAATAGATTGTATCTCTTCAAGGTATTCTTTGGACCAATAACATACTGCGAAAGGTCAAGAGTTTCCAATGGAAAATCTACAGAAGTTTGAAGCTTTTGTTTCCATCTTCCATCATAGGAAAACCTAGAGAATGAAAAAGCATCATAAAGTTACAGGCTGTTCACAAGCTCTGTAAGAACATTAAGCATATGTTGGTTTTCCTTGTTTTCAACCAAGATGTGATCTCAACTAAAGACCCCAATTTTGTTAATGCTTGCCCATGTGTTTCTTAGCACAAATAAAAAGAGGTTACTTGTAAAAGAGCTACAGCCTTACAGAAGAAGCACCAGAAGAAAATACAATTCTTCCAACATTACAACTGGAAATACATATCCAGATCTACTACCCTGGAACAATCCATCTCCATCAAAGCCTCATCCCTTCATCCTAATTAATTTTCACCAATCCGTTCCTTACCGTTTCAAGTGCACAAGAAGAACAGGTGGCAATTTCCAAATTTCTATTTTTTTCAAAGAATCCCTTCGAGTTTTGCAATGGCTACAGTAAAACCTATTGTTATCAGTGAGCTTCTCCTCTTTGGAGAACAATCTAAGGCATTCCTAAAACAAAACACAAACACAGCTTGTGAATGGCAGGTGTTTATGAAAGCATAGCAAAAATCTTTGTTTCCTGTTTGTTTGGTAATGTGCATCGTTGAGCTGTGTCCTACATTTCACAAAAATGAGGAAAGGTGAGTTAAATCTAGGTGTGGAAGCAAATTTTGCTGCATATATTAATTAGACCTTTAAAATATACTGACAATGTTTAGACTATAATCTACAGAAGCAAATACAGTATCTTTGTTACTGCAGCTTCATTATTTCCATCTTGCCTCTATTTTAAAACTTTTAAACTTTAGAAGTCTTAAAAATAATGAGGATTCTGTTCATGTTTCAGGTTAGTGCAAATTAAGCTGGAATACTGAACAAGCTTCAACAGGAGGGTGAGTAGAAGCAACATCTAATGAGGTCAGAGATAAATGTTGTTCCATCAAGAGCTGTTTCTCCCCAGCTCTGCCATACCTGCAGGGTACATTTGCTAGAGGATGCAAGTGGTAATGACAAATACATGAAAGCCTCAAAGGTTCGGGACTTCTTGTGACACGTTAGACACTGCACTGTGGACTTGAACTGGCCTTGAAAGAGTGCCACAATGATGGATTCATTGAGCTGCTTGTGTTTGTGCCAGGCTAGTTCTGCTGCTCTGAAGTCATCAAGGTGATCATTGTTTTCTTCCTTGTGTCTTTTCCTGTTGTCAGCCTGGATAACAGAAGTTTAAATACCATAGCAATATATTAACATATATAGAAATCAGAAGTCTCAGCTATAGGCAAATATACTTGGCAAGAATATTTAAACATGTCAGTGTAGCCATCCAGTTCTCATCTAGTTAGGCTTCAGTATCTCAAGGGCCTACAAGGAGCTGGAGAGGGACTCTTTATTAGGAACTGCAATGATAGGACAAGGGGTAATGGGTTCAAACTGAAGGAGGCAAAGTCTAGGTTGGATGTGAGAAAAAAGTATTTTTACTGTAAGGGTGTTAGGACACTGGCACAGGTTGCCCAGGGAGGGAGGCTGTGGCTGCCCTGACCCTGGCAGTGTTCAAGGCCAGGCTGGATGAGACCTTGAGCAACCTGCTCTAGTGAGGAGGTGTCCCTGCCCATGGACTAGATGATCTGTAAGGTCCATTCCAACCCCTAAATTCTATGACTCTTCCACGACTCCTTCAGTACTTTACATTGCTTCATACTCACTTCCTATTTTAATTCTGAATACTCACAGTTCTTTCTTTACAAGGCTGCAGGAACACAATCTTCTTATGAAATAAGATCTCTTAAAAATTTATTTCTCTTGATCATATGACTGACATACAATTTGTTGTATTGCTTACTTTATTTAGGTCTTCATGCAAGCCATCCATTAGAAAGAGAAGCAATTCTTGGGAGTCCTGCTGGCTATATCCTGCAAATTGGTCATTAATCTTCCCAATTGTAATTTTGAAATCTTTTGGACTGATATATTTATACTGTCCTGTCCACAAAGCTTTCATTATTACACCAAACTCTTCAGCCACTTCACCTTTATGCCCCAGGTAATTTGACCTAGAAAATTAAAGATGAAAAAAAAATAGTGAGGCCTTCAAATAACTGGCTTTTAATATTATTGGTTTTAATTCATTACCCAATTTCAAAATCATTTATTTAGACCAAGAAAAACTGGCTGTTAGGCTGAGTTATAATTTTTGCCTACTCTGGCACTGCAATTTGGTCCATTCACCATGGAAGGTACAGGTCTTTTCAGCTTGTTTTGTATCTAGGTACACTTGAGTTTATGAATGAGGTGGCCATGATTTAATTAAAACTGTCCAGTAAAACCAATTTAGTGACACATGAATTTTGAAAATTCAAGACTTCTAAAAGTTATCATTTGTGTCCTACTCAAAAAACCAACCAATCCCCACTTAGCCCCACTAATTGATTATTTTTGAATTAGCAAGTATAAAGGCACATTTTTTTTTTCCCTTTGACTATATCTAAAGGACGAGAATAAGAGATTGTTACCTGTTTATGTCATCTTGATACAAGTTTCTGTTAAAATAGTCAGCCAGGTGAGGAGCATTGCACAGACACTGTAATATGGAATTCATGTAGCAAGTGTTCCCCAGGTTCCGAAGTCCTGTCAGAGCTGGTCCCGATCCCCCAAACACGGGATTAAGATTCCGAATCTGTGATGCAGAAAGTCTTGAAATTTCTGCTTTAGTGTAACAGATGGGTCTGTCAGGAAGAAATTATTGTTTAGAAGTCTCAGACTTGACAAGGCTGTGCACATAAACTAACAGACACCTCACCTCCCCCATGCCACTAGGGATTGAACTGTGCTGGCACCAGGTATCACCAAATACCATCAGTTAAGGTATTCAAAACCAGCACTAGTGTGAGAAATCCATATAGAGTTGCTTATAATGATTAGTTTTAGGATCCATCAGCTGTGAGATTTGTGGGGGGTTTGCTTTATT